ACCAAATGCTGCAAGCGGCGAAAACTGGATGCCAAAGTGCGAATAGCAGCTACACACACACACACATACACTTCTCATACACACACACTCACACAGAAGTTGCTCGCACAGCAGCTTGAGATTCTGCAACTCGAAACTTGGTTTTGGTTTTCCGTTTGCTTTTGTTGTTGGGTGAAATCTGGTTTTCAGTTGCTTGAGCTGACTTTTAGCTGCCAGCTAAATGGCTTTTTTTAGCGCGTTTTTTTTTTTTTTTGCATTTGCATTTTGAAGTTGAATCATCCGCATCGATGCCAGGCGCGTATCTGGCAGATACGTTTTTTGGGTCTTTCAACTCGCCAAAGTTTGACAGCGATCAAAACCTGTTTTCGAGTTTCTGACTTTTCTGTTTTCGGTTTTCAGTGTCAACAAATTAGTTAAAGTGCCATAATTAATGTGAAATACTTGGCATCTAATGAACTCTTAACTGTATTACGCATCTCTGATTTACGAACGTGTGCCTGGCCTCTTGAGCCAGCCTCAAATTTACGCTAACCAACCCTGGCGGCTTTCTGAGATACGTTTCTTTTAGCCTCAAAGATACGAGAAATGCGAAAGTGAAAGTGACCGAAAACTTGCACTCAACACAACACAGATACACACACACACAAACACGGATATACAGATAGACTGTATCTGTATCTATTATCTATATCTGTAGAATCCATTAGTATTTTAGCATCATAAGCTGTATGTACAGCTGCATTTGCATTTGTATCTGTGTCTTCTTAGCTAGGGCTGCTTCTGCTGTTGTATCTTTTGCGCTGTTTTGTATCTTTTAGCTGTAAATTTGTCTGAATTGTATCTGCAACTGTTAAAGTGATTTTTATTGTTGGTCACACGATTTGCTGTTGTTCGTTTGCTTCGTTGCTTGCTTCAAATTTGAATTTAAAAACCTTAGAAAAATGACTAGTGTGCTCGACTCACAGTTATCCTGCACAGATTTCTGTCTCTATAGACACTTGGAGATCAACTCCCCTTACTCTCATGTACTCTCTTGTACATGTGACGTCCCCCCACTTCTATTCTAAAATCTCCCCTTTCAATTGCAGCTAATATACCCTATCTGCCGGCACACAACGCGTACAGGGTATGGATAAACAACAAGCATAAACGATTTATACGTTGCGAGCGTAGTTCGCTTCAGCATCACGTTTCCTTTTTTATTGCCGTTGTTTTCTTCTGCTTCTTCCTTTACTTTATTTTATTTTTATTAAGTATCACAGTTGCTGTTGTTGCTCTTCTTCTTCTCTTCAGGGGCGCTCTCTGTTGTAACTTTGTTGTTGTTGTTGTTGCTGTTGTTGTTATTTAATGATTTAAAGATTATGCACGCTCCGCCGGACACACAGCCGGACAATCGTCTGCCCTTTTTATGGAAGGGGAGCCACAAAAGGGCCTCAACTTCACTTTTTCAACTCCTGCCGAAACTTTCGCTTTTTTTACACCTTTTCTCTCCCTACCTCCGCATGTCCCTCTCTTCCAATCTCTCTCTCTCTCTCCCTCTCTGTCTCTCTTGGCCAAAGTGAAAAAATTGTGTAAGAGCATGTTAATTTGAAGCGAAGGTTGAAGGCGTTAAAATTGCAGATAAAACGTCGCGGTTTGCCGGCTTCAAAGATTCGTTTCGTTGTTTGCCCAGAGAGATATGGACAGTGATTCAGCTCGACTGGTTGTGCGTGTGCGTGTGTGTGTGTGTGTAGGTTTGTATTAAGCTGTTACAGTTAGAACTTTGTACATATACAATGTGTAGAGCGAGAGGGACAGAGAGATATTTGCCTAAGCGTTTCATTATGCAAAGTAAATAATTCATAAGGTACTTTTTTATTCAAATCCAATTGAGCTGATGGACTTTGGTTGCGGCAAAAAGGGATAAGAATACTGTACTCAACTGGAATATACCCTGTCAACATGTAGATGAGTCTCCATCGAATAAAAATGAAAACTGAATACAGGAACAGCTCAGTCTACTCAGACTATTGGGTGAGAGTCAAAAGTCTAACCCAACTACTATCAAACCGATATACCTTCTTCGAAGCCCAGAAACGGCACACTCCAAGTGCTTTTTTAATTCACGTTGATGCCCATTTGCAGCTAATAGAGCACAGATACAAATCGAGCAAACAAATCATCTCGAATGACGCAGAACAACATCGACAGCAACAACGAAAACAATTGAACCCATTTTAATGCACACTTAACGTCATAAATATGCAACAACTACAACTGAGCGAGACACGCCTTGCCTTGGGAGTCTCTAATTTGCTGTTGGAACAATGAGGATGATAAACAAACAGCAAAACTATTTAGCTTGACATAGTTTTGCACTTAGACAACAGATAAAAACACAATTAAAGTTGAGCAACACGATTCGCTCTTGACTCCAACTGGAAACTCAATCATCAAAATGTCAAATGCTTAAATGAAGCTGCGATAGCTGTTTCAGTTTGTCTCTGTACAAGGGGCGGTAGAATTCTTAAGGCTGGAAACGAAATTATTCAACTAAATACAGATTAAGAGGTGAAGATACAATCTTGTATACAGATTCCCCAAGCAGAACTTATATAGATCCTAAAGCATTCCTGGATATGCTTTCCATAAGCAGATACATTCACTTGAGGCTGCAGTTAGAGAGACAATCAGAGATATAGATATAGATTCCGATTCAGTTAGTTATAGATACATTTATCATTCAGATCGATGGATTTACAATCCTGCATAGAGATTCACATCGACAGATTCTAATAAAGATTCATTTGCGGATGCACTTCGAGATACAGACACATTTATAGATACAGATACAAGCACAACTACAGATACAATTGGAACTGTGCAGTCATGTGAAAACTGGTTTCGTGATTCTCGATTCTCGATTCTCGATTCTCGAGCAGACTATAGATAAATATTTATAGTAATAAATGCGTGGGAAAAATTATAAAAGGCATATATAGCAGATACACGTATCTATCTGTATCCATATATAAATATACATATACATGTATAGCTACATGGTATATAGCATAGCATATCTGTCTCTCACTCTTTGTTTTTCTTGGAATAACAAGTACAATAAAAATCGCCAGTCAGCGAGAACAAAAGCCCCACAAAGCACACACAAAAGGCACACACACACACACACGCACACGCTCACCTATTTTACACATAATTTTCGTACCTGGGCAAAGCTGTGATTTAAGATCTACAATTAGAGATAGAGCAAAACTCATTATAATCAAAATGAGTTATAGAACGGACAGACAAACAAAACAAAAACTATAGTAAGCTCAACTACCAAAGAGACACTACACTGTGAAAAAAGACATAGAGAATAGAAAAAATCAATTACAACTTACAAGAGTTAGAATTGCTAACAGAATTGAGATCTTACTAAATATGTATTCGATTGATCTACATTTTTCCAAGATTGAATCAAATTTAATAACCTAAATTTTACTTTCATGCCAGGGCCAATCTTTTCTCGCTGTGTAGCAGAAAAAAACAAATAGATATAATAATAATAGGGAAAATAATATAAAGACTAGGCCTGAACTCTTGACATCAACTTTAAATTAGAGCTCATGTTTTTAATTTCCATTTCTTGGAAACGCTGTCAACGCCAAAAGATTTAACACCAAAATAAACGAAAGACGAGGAAGAAGAAGAAAAAGGCTCAGCCGGGCTGTTACAAGGCCTGGCTCTATTTTTTTTTTTTTTTTTTTTTTTTTTTTTGAGCTAAGACTCAAATCATGCAAGAAATTTGTTACTGACATTAAAATTACCATCATTATAATGTCTGTTTGGCTCTTGCTTTGTCAGTCTGTCTCTCTCTCGCTCTCTCTCCCTCTCCCTCCTCCTCCTCTCTCTCTCTCTCTCGCTCTTTCTATCTCTTACTCTCTGTCTATTTCTTTGGTCGGCCATGGGCGACGTCTAACACGAAGCAGGAAGACACTTGGCACCGGCAAAAAGCGATGTGCGGTAATACAAAATGTCGAAATAGACATAAGCAACAGCAACAACAACAGCAACAACAACAACTACGAGCAACCAACAACAACAAGCAACAACAAACAACAATTTGAGCTCTGCAAAACCAAAGAAGAAAACATGAAACATGATAAAGTGAGAAGTTTCTAATGGGAGAACAAGTGTAGCACACACATGACATACCCTGTAAATGTTGTTGCTGCCAGCTACGTAACAACATAGGTAAGCGTGACGTAACCTGTGATACGTGACTTATCAAGCAAATAATGAAAGTTTACGTCAAAATCGACTGGAAATTGACGTAGTATGCGTTACGTAATGTATTTCACGTAAAGTAAATTACTATTGATCCTAAACACAAAAAGGAAATCTGCCCAAAGTATTTGATGTTTGTGTACAAGTAAACTACGTAATGCCCTGTTCCATGTCAAACGTAATGGGCATCACGTATAGTATAACGTAACACAGCACATCAAAGCACAATTCATCTCTTTGCTCATTACTCGACTGTAGGTAAACAATAAAAATTGCTTCGAAAATCAGCTTATCCCTTCCTTAGCAACTAGCCCATATGACCCCACGGGCATCAATATTTTCCAATGGGGCTATGCATGAAACACGAGCGCTTGAATGGAAATGAAAATGGGCTTTGGTTGTGATCGATGACGGCAGAGGTGAGAGTTGAAACCGAAGCCGTAGCTGAAGCTGAAGCTGAAGCTGATTGATAGCCAAGCAAACAAGCAGAGAAACAGCTGGAACTGGATATGGAACTGGGAGGGGAACTGGAACTGAAACTAGAAGTGAAACTAATAGATAATCCAAGAGACAACCGAATAGACCTGCAGACAGTTAGAGCTGTAGCTAGTGGAACTGGAACTGGAACTGGAACTAGATGTGCAACTAGATCTAAAACTGCCAAATGCAATAACAGGAGTTTAGTTAACTTAAGCTGAAACTGGAACTGGAACTGGAACTGTAAAACTCACCTGCGCATGATGGGCAGCGGCAAGGTGAATCGTCCGTCGTTCATCAAAGGCGCTGCTCCTGGCAGTGGCACCGTCGATATCACAGGCGCCAGCAGCGGCACTGGTGCAGGAGGCGGAGGCGGCGGCAGAGGCAGTGCAGCTGCTGCTGCTGCTGCTGCGCCTGATTGTGGGGGTGGCGGCAGGGGCGGTGGCGCAACGGCGCCACCTGGCAGCGCACTGTAGGGCGGCGGATAATGGGCGTGGCTATGCAAAATGTCCGGCAATAGAGCGCGAGCCAAGCCCAAAGCAGCAGGATGCGGATGCGAATGCGGATGTGGATGCGAGTGTGGATGCGGATGCGGATGTTGCAGGTGCGGCGGTCGACGCACGTGCGTAGGCGGCAACTGTTGCTGTTGCAATTGCAATTGCTGCTGCTGCTGCTGTTGCTGTTGCTGCTGCTGGCGACGTTCGCGACGCTCGCGTCGACGTTGCTCGCGTGTGCGCAACTGTTGCTGCTGCTGTGATTGCTGCTGCAACTGCAACTGTTGCTGCTCTTGCTCTACAGTATTGTTGCTATTGTTGTTGTTGTTGCTGCTGCTTAGATCATCCGTCTGGCATTCGGTCGAGGTGAAAGTGCGTGTGGCTGTGGGCGTGGCATTCACGTTAATCACCTGTACACTGTTATCAACACTGGGCACATTCAGATTCAGATTCAGATTCACATTACCATTATCATTATCATTATTATTGGCATTATTATTATTATTTGCATTAGCATTAGCATTATTATTACTATCATTTAACTTATTTTGTACACTTGCACTAAACACTTTTTTGGTTGCTGGCACACAATTATTATTGATGGCAACAATGCTGTTGTTGATGTTGTTGTTGTGGTTGTTGTTGCTGCTGTTGCTATAATTGCAATTGACGACACAAACGTTAGTGTTGTTGTTGCTGCTGGACTCTGCAGGCGATGGTGCTGCAGTTGTAGTTGCTGTTGATGTCTGCTGATTGTGGTTGCTGTTGCTGTTGGTGTTATTGTTGTTGTTGTTGTTGTTATTGTTCACCTGTATTGTGAGACTTGGCTGTTGCTGACAGAATTTGCTAGCTGTTGGCAGTATTGCAATATTGCAAATGCCTTTGGCATCGCTATTGCTGTTGCTGTTGCTGCTGTTGCTAAGAAAAATGCTGCTGCTGTTGCTAGTGGCAGCAACTTTTGCTGTCTGTGTAGCTGCTGTTGCTGCCGTTGCTGTTGGCGGCTCTGCAGCCACATTCAAACGCATCGTCTCGCTAGCGATAGCTCTTGTATTATCGTTATCGTTATCGGAATCGGTTTCGGTATCGGTATCGATATCGTTGAGCCGATGCTCAAACAAACTTTCACTTGCACGAAATTCGGCATACAAACGTTCGAGTTCTGCCAAACATTTGTTGGGGCGCAGCGCGTCGGAGCTCAAATTAATGTTTCTATTGCTATTGTTGTTATTGTTGTTGTTGTTGCGCCCCCGCGACAACCACGACGACAACTTGTGAATGTTGTTGCTATTACGGTTACTGTGATTTCTGTTAGTATAATAATTGACGCCACTCTGCACCTCAGTTGTGCACGCGCCGAACGAACTCGAGAGACTGATCGCCGCTGCCGAACGAAACTGGCTTGAGCAACCACTGGAAGAGAGCAACGCTGCCGACGTCGCTGCTGCTGTAGCTCTCTCAGTCGCTGTTGCGTGCTCTCTTTGGCAGCGACTCCGACTGCGGCTGCGACTGCGCTGGGTTGCCTTTGCTGCTGCTGCTGCTGCTGCACAGGAAACAGGTTGATTGACCTGCACTCCGACCGAGACTGCGATGTCGACGTCGACTTCAACTTCATCGTCGACTGCAACTGTGCCTTGTGTTTCCTCGCTTACTCTTTCTGCTGTCGTTGCCATTTCTCGCTCATCGCCGTTGTCGTCTTCTTTGTCGCTGTTTTCATTGATAATGCAATTCGCTTTGCTGTCGCTCTGGCTCTCTGCACTTTGTTGTGATCTTGCCTTCGTTGCTGTTGTTCGCATTTGCTTTTGACTCGTTGCCGTTATTGCTGTTTCGGTTTCTGTGTCGTTTGTCGCAGGCGTGAATAATGCGCAGTTCTGCAAGCAGAGAAGGAGAAAGAGCGAATGAGTGGGAGTGAGAATGAGAGGGGAGAAGGGAGCTGTCAGCTATGCATTAGTCAAATGACAAGATTTAAGTTTCAAGCGCTAATTAATGTTAATTGCAGAGGGATTAGCCACTGGCCAAAAACAGCAAAGCAAAAAATATGATAAAGGTGACAGCAGCCGCAAGAACAGCAACCAACAGCCAGGCAGGCCAGGCAGGCGCATAAATGTGTGCCTAATTGAATTAATTAAGCCAACGCATAAACATAAAATCGTCACAAGTAATTGTTGTTGTTGCCCTTGCCGTTGCTGTTATCCCTGCCTGGTGTCTGCATGTTTGCTGATAAAGTTATTGCTGCCTGTTCCTCCCATTGTTGTTGTTGAGGCTGTATGACTTACTCTCGCTCTAATGCCCGCACGCACACACGAACACACACGCACGCAGAGGGAGAGAGAGAGAGTCAGTCAGTCAGCCCCTCGCTCTCCTATCTCTCTTTCTCTATGACTCCACATCTGGCTCAGTATCAGAGATGAGCGTTTAGCGTGCATTTTGTGTGACTTATCGCGCTTCAGCTATTTTAATCTTGCTCTGCTTTGCATATGCAACATGCTCCAACTACTCAATTTGACTCTAAGGCCGCTGCTATAAATTATAAGACTGCCTTCACCCACACACACGCATTGCCTCCTTCTCTCTTTTCCACCACGCCTGGCTTAGTAATGGCAATGCGCACTTAGCTTTTATTTGGTGTGCGGCGGATAGTGACTTAGCCTTAGCCGACAAGCCTTAACTGCGTTTGACTTTAAAGCTGTATTTTAAATTTATAGCACAGCTCTTGCTCTTATGCTCGCCAATTCATACACAGCGTCCCTCTGCCTCTGTGGACTTTTGGCTGAGGCTGAGTCTGTCGGTATAATATTCAAGACACCAGCTATTGCTCTTGTAATCGCTACTGCTCTTTGCTTTGTGTTGCTCATGCAATTAGCTCTGTAGCCATAGCTAAATGTAGAGCTGAAAGGCTGTTTTTCTAATTTCTAAGAGCTGCAACTGCGCTCATCTCCAATCAGTGCACATTGCCAAAAGCTAACGCGACCCCAAATGCGACAAGATGGGAGAGCCGTATAACTGTTAGTGCGTGTGCCTAGCTCTGAGTATATATATGTGTGTGTGTGTGTGTTGAGTGTGGGTTCTAATTATGTTACGCTGTGTTACTTGCATTAATTACGTCACAGAAATATAATGTGATTTACTGTTAGCTCAACTGCTGCCGCTGCTGCTGCTGCCGCTGCTGCTGCCGCTGCTGCTGCTGCTGCTGCTGCTGCTGCTGCTTCTGCAGCTGACTTATTGTTCTGGCTGCTGTTGGCTTTGTCATTGTTGTTGCTGCTGCTCATTCTTGTGCAATTGCGATTGCTGCTGATTGCTGCAGCCCGCCCCCATCAGGCCCCGAGTCTAACGGTGCCTGGCTGCAAGTCAACTTTCATAATAAATGTCTAGTCATGTTAGTTCTTTCGTCTGTTATATGCACATGGCTAATTTTGGAGGTTATGTGGCAGAGCTGCCTGCACTTTAAACTGGTTTCCATGTGGCGTTTCTTTTCACAAGTGCTGAGCAGCGGAAGGGGGGCATGGTCGGGGCATATCTATCAGGCGTGCAACCCCCCGAGCATTGTCAATCGATTGCAACCCCTAACTCCTGGGGCTCGCTCAATTATGACGACAACCCTGCTCTATATTTATGTAAAGCATAAATATGGAAGGGCGCATATGGCACATGTGCACTGTGAGAAAAAGCGAGTCCAAGATGCATTCTTAACAATGAACTATATGTATGTATGTAGGTATGTATATACTCTATTGATTTTTTAAATGTATTTGTTGTTCATTCTTAATTTCCTTTATTTGCGTATTATTTATTTACTTATTTGTATTTCTCTCAGTGCATGCATGCGCTGCAACTATGTCATTTACTTAAATACATTTAATGCTTTTTTCTCCTTCTGTATATTGCCTTTGTTCTCTCTATCTTTCCTCTGTTCATTGCTTTGTGGTCAATTTTCCATTTCGCTGACAACGGAATAAAAACAAAGGCAAATCATGATAACATACGAGAGATAGAGACAATGACAGGGGGAGAGACAAAGAGATGCATATATTTTAAATGCATATTTACGCTCTATTGTAGGCACTTTGCTCAGCCCTTCCGTCTAACGGCACCCGCAGTACACGCCCACAGTCGCCTGGTATCGATATCGATACCAATTACGCTGAATGCGACATCTGGCGCTCTCTTATCGAAGACGCGGGTCGGCACTCAAGTGCCTAAGTGAAACATTAGCCCTTATCCGAGTCGCAGTAGCCGTCAATGGGGGCTCGATAATGGAGTTCTATGGCCTGCCCCTCCCCTCCCTCTACTCTATCGTCGGGCCCACTCACCAGGCATCAGCCTTGACATCAAATTTGATGGCGCCACATTTCGTTTCGAGTCGAAGTGCGTCGAACGAGCCAAGGTGACAATTTTACGAGGCGCCTAGGCAGCCAGCCAAGCAAACACCCAGACAGGCAGACAGTCGCCAGGGTTGACATTGCCATCCGTAAATTGAACAATAGCTAATAATAGATATGAACAGCTATAAAGCATAATAGCGTTCTGCTCATGTTTCGTATATTGCGAAAGAGCATAAAGAGAAACCCTATTCAAGACTGATAGCTCCAATGTCGTATACTCATTTCGACATGCCATGAATTCTACGAAATCAATATATGTATATCGATCCGTAAAAGGCATATGCACTTTTCTGTAGTCTATTATTGATAATGGAAAAATAAAAATCGATATTTATCGATACACTTTGCATCACTTACCTGCGATATGTAATCATCCGTAAAGGAGCGCACCAGGCGCTCTGCTGGAACATTTGCCGTTAGTTTCTTGGGTCGATCTTCATCGTCTTCGTCTTCGTCTTCTCGAATTTCGTTTGCTGGGGATCGTTGCGATCTATCACATTGTAGACTGTAGTTTGTCGGCAGCTGGACGACGGCTGCCAGGCTAGCCCTGGCCACGCCCACGCCGGATACACCCGGCTGGTAGAGGGAGTCGTAAGAGGGCGGCTCCTTGATCGCCGTCGCTTTCGAGGAGCACCACTGGATGAGCGTGTGAGCCGGACTGCCATAGTAGCTTGGATACGAATAGCGATTGCGATGGCTCGCCTTATTGAAACTGAGGAAAGGCACGGGAGGAGTGGCGGCTACAGGTGTTGCAGCAGGTGGCACAATTGATAGGTGATTTCTCGCCTCGTAGCTGCTGTGGGACTTGCGCAACTTGCGATTGAGGCGCTCGTCCTCGTCCTCCGCCTCCACCTGGGCCTCCTCCTCGTCGTCCTCCTCCGAGGTGGAGCTGCCTGCCCGATCGTAGGGCGTCCATAGCATTGATGAGAGCGCCGTCTCCACATCCGGCGGTCGGTGCAACCGCTGCACGGCCGCTGGCACGGCCATTGCCTCCAAAGTGGGCGTGTTCCGTTCCATGTGGGACATGTGGGCCGAGTGGACATTGCGCTCACAACTTGAGCAGCTCCTCCTTGCGCCGAGCCGTGTCAATGGTCAGCCGCATGCTGAGCCTCGACTCCAGACTCTACAAACGAGAGAGAATCAGACTATAGCGGATTTGAATAGACTTGAATTAAGCCAGAGTGATTATCAATAAGCACTTGAGTAAATGCTTAAATGTTTATGTACATCTTAATTATCAGATGCGAATTTTCTATATATAAACTGTTAGCAAATATCTAACATGGCCAGATTTAATTTTTCTTTTATCAGCAATTTGATGTTTTCGACCACTGTGCGCAAGAGCAAGAACTAACTTTAAAAGCGATCCCTTTTATTTTCCAATTTGTTAAATTGCGATTAAAGCATTTAAAAATGCCCAAAAGCAAAAAATTAAAATAAAAAGCCAAACAAAATGAAATAAAAAGAAGTTGTAGGGTAATGGAAAATGGAGAATGGGAAAAGAGACACGAGACACGAGAAGAAAAACAAGCTTCCGTTTCTGTGGCCAAAATATATGCAGAAAAGTTTGCGAACCAAAAACTTTTTGGCAGCCTTCCCATTTTCCCAGCACTGCTGGGGGCGTGGCAGACACACACACACACACAGATAGCCGTCGTAAATAGTTATATATACCTAAATATAGGCTGTAGTCTGACTCGGTTATTCGCATTAGAAAAAGTTTAAAGTCGACTGCCAATTCGACTAAGCGAATGTGGCTTAAACACCCAGCGGGCATTGAAATGCGGAGAGACTTGCAGCTGAGCCCCCAGATGTTGTCGTTGTTGCCGTTGCTGCTGACTACAGATGCAACATCAGCAACAGCAACATCCAATGGTTGCTGGCGAGGTTCATGCGGGGCATATCAAAATCTATTTCTAATAGAAATCAAGCAAAAGTAAAGCAAGTCCTTACACTGAAAAAACTAGCTTACTCAGAAGTGCTATTGCTATTGACCGATAATGGAACTGGAACGAGACCAATTGATTCAGGTTCGAATTATATTTGAAGGGTAATCCAACTATTTGTTGCTTTTGTCTTTCTTCTTCATCCTCTGTAACTAAACTTCAATTTACTCTGAAGCAAAATAAAGCATTTCAGCGATATCAGCGCGTAGTCCCATTCGACCAGACTTAATGCTGACATATGTTGATATACGAAACGGAATAAACTGCTTTGACCTACTTAGAGTCGAGCCACTTATCATGCTAAGGGACAGCGTGCAAACCTATTAGCTGTAGAGAACACAGCAACCTGAAAACTTTAACTACAACTCCGATGCCGATGCCGATTCCGAATCCGAAATTCAACTATGAACAACAGTGATTCAACTCGGCTTTTGGCTGTTTGGGTGCTTCTGCTCTGCTGTAGCTGCTAAGTTTTATGTGTTGCATAGCCTGAGGCGCTTTGGCACTCTAATTTTTCATACTGTACAAAACATTGAGAGGGCCTAAACAGGGCATATTAGCTCTATCTGAAATGCATATTAAAAACGGAAGTCAAGCCGAAAATGTTTACATATAGTGGGGAATAAGGAGCATAAGCGAACCATTTGTCTAACTGTGTGATTATATATAAGTTCAAGAATGTAAGGCTAAGACAGTAAAGACCATCATTAGATAGATTATATAGTCGTATAGTCGTGCACACCCGACAATACAATATTCTTACTTATTTTTTGCTTGCCAATTCTCATGTCGCTTTTGTGGAGAGCTTCGGTAACTTCTGCCTGGCCGCCCTGGCTGAAGCTGATGTTTTTTTGTTATGCTTAAATAAAGATTTGTGTTAGTGTGCCTCATTCAGCTTCTGTGGCAGCTGCAATTGTTGCTGTGCATTGCTGGCCTTCATTGTTGTCATTGCCCATTGTTGTCCTTTAAGAAAGGAGAGCCTCAGCCTCAGCCTCAGCCTCAGCCTCAGCCTCAGCCAGAGCCACGGCCAAAAGACAGCACAAAAGGCGCCCACAAATTAATATCATGTGCAACAATTGTTATACTCGGTGTGTATTGGTGTGTGTGTGTGTGTGTAGGTGTGTTCGTGTGCGTCTTGTTATGTGTGCATGTTACCTACTTTTTGTGGGCTTTTAATTAACAACGAGTTTGCGCCTCGTACAATGCAAACAAAGTGCCAAAAGCCAAAGCCTTGAAATTCTCACAATTTTCCACAATTTTTTCCCTCATTCGCCATTTTCTTTGTGCTCATTTTTAGCAGGCAACAAAAAAGAGGAAGAGCAAGAATGATGCAGCCGCTGAAAACCGAGTGCCTCAAATATTATGAAATAATGCCGAGGCTTTAGCAACGCTTTATATACAGATTATGTGCGGAAATACCCCTTAAGGCGCATGCGGCTGTAGCTGGATGTAAATTAAATTGGGAATTAACTGGGCTTTCGCCTACACTGAGCGAAACAAAAATTGCAGGGATTTCTCTTGCTGAATTAAAACTGCAAATTGTTTAAACAGGGAAACTATTCGAGAATTTGTATTTCTTTTGGGATTGTGAAATGACCTAAAAATCTCTTGATCAATCTTTGAACTTCATCATCATTAAATTCGGTAATTTAATTGGCTATCACTTCTCTTTCTTTTGCGTACAAATTTTTCTAGATCTAACCTAATTTAAATGTTATTTTTAGAGCAGCGGAGCCCAATCAATCTGCAGGGGCATAAATTATGAAGAGCACTTCCTTAAACAGCGGCAATTCCCCCGCGCCGTACCCTCGCCGCCTATTAGGAAAAGGCCCCTGCCAGTCATGGCAAATGGCAGATGGAAAATTCAAATGCTGGCAGTTCACAGTTCACAGTTCGCTCCTCGTCAACAGAAAATTTGAGCACATTTTAACTAGCTGAAATTTGTGTTGGCCAAAAGACTTTCGGTGAAATGAGTGCGGAGAAATCATAAAAGCAAATAAGAGAGCTGAGCAAAAATGTAAGGGAAAATCAAATACAAATACTTCAAGGCAAAGTTCTGTCTGCAGCAAACTCGACGACTTTAAATATCACGCAAAGGAGCAAAAGGAAAAATAAATAAATAAATACATACAAAAAATAAATTCAATGAAAATTATTTACGTAAATACTTTTTTTATTTGCTATATTTTTTTCTTTTTCTATTTGACTTGATGTGCGCCTGACGAGCAGACGCGGGCGACAGAGCCAAACTTTTTGCTGGCAAGCATATGCAAAGAAAAAAGTTGCTGACAAATTTTCGGGCAAGCGGGGGATAAATTTGATGCCAGTATGTTTGGAATGCAAACAAACTTTATCTAATTAGGGCGACACGTGTTACACAGACACCTTTAGCTAGGCTAACCAGCAGCTCTTCTCAGCGATTCTCAACATGGAGCCTCGAATTGAAAATGAAGTATGCACAATTGAAATCGTAATCAATGGCTCTGATATTGAATTGGAATAACATAATCTTCTTGACTTCAAGAGTTATCACAAATTTTATATGAAACGTTATGTACCTACTTTTAAATGAGCTCCTCTCTGCGCATCTCATAGCACGTTATGAGCAGTTCAACATCAGGTCTAGTTTTATCTAGTCTACTCAGCAGCTCTTCTCATCTGCTATATCTTCACCTACATTTCTCTCTTCTTTTTTGCCCTCCTCTGCGCTTCTCATAATAGCCAATCTACTTGTAGCACATCAACACCCGCTCCTCAGCCGAGCTACATCTTCATCTTGTGAGCTGCTTTGCATTGATGACGCACTCGAAATGCCTTTTGATGTCCCCCAGTCTGTTAGTCCGCCCTTCCTCCAATTCCCTGAGTTCCATCAATTCCCATGCTTGTTTTGCATTTGCCAGCTCAACATATTCGTAGGCGTTTCTGTTTCGTAGACTCCATCTACCACTTTTCCTACTGCTGCTGCTGCTGCTGTTGATTCTGCTCCGCCTGTCAACTGGCTGTCAAGCCGTGGCATCTGCCTCTGCTACGAGTTCTGTGAGTGTCGCGTGTCGAGTGCCTTTTGAGTTGTTTGTCAATATGTAGACCATTATTCAATCAATATATTGACACACATTTTCATTTGCCAACCTTCTTCTCTCTCTCTCTCTCTCTCTGTCCCCCTCTCTTCCTCTGCCCTGCAGCAAAAAAGCCGGCCAAGTGCTAATCGCAAACAAAGTAGTTTTTGCTCGACTTCCATTTCGATTTCGTTTTTATGGCTTGGGGCGGTTCGGGCTCTTCGATTGATTCCTTCGTGCCTCGGCATGCCCCTCCCCAGAGACCTTTACTTCCGCTTTAACTATTTGTGCGTCTAGGCCGAGTCGTATTTGTGTGCCCTACCTCTTCATTCACATCGACCCCCACCTCCACTCCACTCTAGCGTAAGCCTCCTTCAAATTGAATTTGAGGCCCTCGGTTTTTGCGAGTTCTTTCTCATTATTTGCACATGCGTCTGTCTCGCGTGTTTTCGCTTTCTTTCAGAGTTTGTTCTCACTATACCCTGAACCCATTGTAAATGCGAAATCAGGGTATATTATTCTCTCTCAATATGCATGTAACAGGCAGAAGAAGGCCTCATCGTTAATCGAAATCGAACAAAGTGAGCTATGCAAATATGTCAAATGTAAAGTTAGTTGTTTCATTTTCATTTTTATTTTCTAGAATCATTCTCTCAAATATTGCAAATATTATCTTTAAAAATCCTAAGCATGGGCGGCAAGGGGAAATCCTGCGAATGCACTCTCGAGACTAAAGTTCTGTTCTTTTGCATTTGGACAATAGTTACTGGATTATTCGCCGCAATCATCATTGGTTCACTCATCCCAAGTACGTATGTGACTAACTGTAGCTCGAAAGGAAAATTAAATTGCAAACAATCATATTATATAATATGTTATCTAAAATAATAACAATTCTCTTATCCACAGTGGTTATAAAAAACAATTCAGAACATTTGGGGTTTTTCGTTACCCTCCTGGTACTCGCCGTTATTGAGATGGTGGCCGGGAGTTGTATGACCATTGCTTTCTATAAAGTAAGATTTATCCCAAACAGTAATATGAACAATCCATATGCTGAGCCCCAGAACCTACTTGAAATTCCATTCATGTCCATGTTTGTCCGTCCGTGCTTTTTAATGCAACGATATCGTGAGCCGAAAAAGTTATATACTTGATAGATACATGTATTGAAGACCCGATGTCGACGAGCACTCTAACTTCTTAATAAACTTAATTTTTTCAGAAAATAGCCTGGCTGTTTATGGTCGGGCTTGTATTTAGTTCTTTTTATCCATACTGTGCCTTTATTTTCCTGGTTCCGCTGAGTAAGTATGATGTTTTATATATTAGTATCCAGTGCATTCAGTTTTTGTTTCAGACATCAAAATTTAATTTATCCCGTTTGGGTTTGACGTATAACGTTATACTATATAGTTCATCTAATAATCCAGACTTTTGTGTAGTCTACTTTATTCTTTAATAATCACCTATTAATGTTTTCTTAATTTTTCCTTCATTTCACTCCCTTATCTTTAGTTATGCACATCGTTTTTACCGTTTATGCGTGCCAATATTTTTTCAAAATGCGATCAGAGGGCTAACTACAAATTTTACCTGACAACGATCCCTTCCGTCGCAATGGATCTCGATGGGACCATTTTAATATGTTTCGAATTAAACAAGACAAATTTACCATAATTGATTGATGTATAGAGCGTAAATAAATGGATTTTCGTGATGAGCTTGTTATTTTTATCATACATAGTGATGGCACGATTTATGAAATGATTCAGTGCCAGTAGTGCGCCTATTTCCTGAAGCGGGTGCTACTCTAACGGAGAGAGAACAGAATAGCCACCGTTAGGACTAGAGATTTAACAATTCCCATGTAGGTCCACAGAGCCCAGAATAAATGCGGAGATTCATTTATGATTCCATAATGTGCCAAATATTTAAAAAAAATTCGTCCAAAGTGAGCAGTGTTTATATTTTCAATATACGTTATATGTGTTATTTTGAAATTGTTGGCGTCATCTCTCATTTTTTGCACATTTACAAAAATGGGATGCGAGTGTACTCTTGAGTGTAAAATAAAGTTCTTTTGCATTTGGATAATAGTAACTGGATTGGCAGCGACACTACTACTTAGTTGGACCGTACCATGTACGTATATACTGGCTTAGACGACATACGATATTGCTAGAAAATAAATTTATATATGTATATCCAATCTGGGATATAAATCATAGAAGTATTAATTATCTTATCCACAGATGCTAAGCAAGAGACGAACTCTGAAACCATGTGGTGGTGCGTTTTCTTGCTTGTACTCGCCGCTATTGAGGTGGTGGGTGGGCTTCTTATGTTCGTTGCATTTTATAAAGTAAGATATATCTCAAACAGTATAGTTAACAATCCTTATGCATTTTATGCCCGTGGAAGCGTGGCTGTTCATGCCCATAGCGTATTAACCCACTAATCTCGTAAGCCGAAAAAGCAAGCTTTAAATTTATACTCTTATATACTCTTATATTCGCTTCCACGAGTTTTGTTATGGATAGAAAGACGATGCTTTATTTTATACCTTATGTTTTGGTAAATATATTCACATGCAAATTATTGTTGCATTCCGAAAGTTTGATTAAGAAAGTCCATCTACAAGAAATATTATTCAACAAGTAAATTCCGATAGCGTAGTCCCTAATATGTATTTAAAACAATAGGGGCATAGATTTAGCATGGTTCACGGTATTTCCTAATCGAGCAACCTCGATTAATTCTATTCCTCTTTTCAGAATATAGCCTGGATGTTTATGGTTGGCCTTGTACTAAGTTCATTTTATCCATACGTTGTATTTGGACTCGTGGTTCTCATGGGTAAGTCAAACGCTCTATCGGACTGCAGTGTTGTTATGTCTGGCTTGTTATCCGTCCGTATATTCGTTTATGTCATCGGTATTAATCCTTCTGGACATGTTCGCTATATAAAAGTATCCAGTTTTTGTTTCATACATCAAAGCTTAATTTACAAGCTAAACTTTTCCACGCATAGGTCTTTATATTATATTGTATTATATCTGATAATAATGTATATAGCGACTATAAAAATTAACTATTTATGGTTTCTTTTTCATTTTTCCTTCACTTCCCTCCCTTATCTTTAGTTATCCACATCGTTTTTACAATTTATTCGTGCCAATATTATAAGACAATGAATAAATAAGGCGCTAAATGAAAATTTAACGTGACTGCGATCCCTTCCGTCGCAATGGACCCCGATGGGATTTAATAGTTATAATTAAACGGAATTAACCACAAACGTATTCATAAAATTGTTTAGTATAAGTGATGTAAGGAACATAAATAAATGTTGGATTTTAGTGATCAGTTGTAATATATAAAAGAAGAGCAGATCGAACAGACTTTGTCCGTCTGATTTTCCGTAGGCTTGAACGCGTTTATTCGGAGCTGCTGTCGATGCTGTAAATGTAAACACTTAAAATTAATGTAGGTTATAGCGCAAGCGATGGGAAATAACAGAAGCTAAACTCTAAACACGCAGCATTCAATTAAACTTTTTGCCAGCCGGCATTTTGGGCCGAAAAAATGAAGAAGAAGAAGAAGAAGAAGCAGGAGAACTCTCGACTTCAATTAACCAACTATAAACAAGCTGGCAACTGGCAACTGGCAAACTGCAAAAGGTAGTCGCAGCATTAAGAGCTAGTCAGCTACTTTGCCAGCCTGCCAGCTTGCCACCTGGCCATTGTGCCACCTGGGCTGCCTCTGAGCTTACCTCAAAATGCAGTCCAAAGGGGACTTTAACTTTAAGTCGATTGAGCGAAAGTTCTTGTTTATATTGTGTGTTTTGATTTGCTTATGTTGCTTCACCGAGTGCAGCGCCGTAGCTGCTTGCAACGTGCAACAGCTTCACTTAATTGTGCCGAGGGCTGGCAGCAAACGTTCTGCGTCAATTTACTCTAGTTTTGGAATATTTGTGTTCTGGTGAAGATCGAGCACTAGCACGTTGCCAATGTCAAGGGCATCAAGTGTGGCAGGTGGCAAGCGTGCTTACACCCGCGGCAGGCACACGCACGCACAACAGTTGGCTTCGGGGCTAACGCGGCGTATGCATAACTTTTTGCATTTTGTCGTAAGTCGGCACTGAAATGAGATTTCCTTCCGATCGAGCGACTTGCGGCACACGCGTCTCCGTTTGGCTTGCGGCTGCGGCTGCTGCTGCTGCTGCATGCAACGCGTAACGAACTGACTGGCTGCCAAACAAAGCGCCTTTTGCCAAACGAACTTGACTTCAATGGAAAGCCGAAAAAGGCAAATTCCAACAAACTTTTGGTGAGTCGGCGCAGTGCGTTGCACGTGCCACACAGCACACAGCACACGCCACGCGCCACACGAGTGGCGCCAGCAGCCTTCCAGTCGCGGCAAACCAAATGTTTGTTTACATTTTGCACAGGCAGCAGCAGCAGCAGAGGCAGAGGCAGCGGCAGAGACAGAGGCAGCAGCAGAGGCATAGGCAGCGGCAGCATGTGGCAAGTGTGCCGCTTGTGCCCCATCATCAATTTATGTTTTGCCTACTTTCGAGCGGGCTCTACTAAATGCTTGAAATATGACTTGCAATCGATACTAGACGTACGCAGGCAATACTTTTCCCAAATAAAAGTCTACATTAATAGCACTTGCCACATGCCACACACGAGCCCCCAGTCCTGTCCATGTCGACTCTGCCTGCCTGGCTGCAGTTTTGCTGCAAAATTTGAGCAACAAGCTTGTTAAAAATACGTGCAGAATATTAAACAGATACCAAACACAGGCACACATACATACACACGCACACACACACACACTGCCACACAGGGGAGCTGCTCCTTGCAGCATGCAATGCCTCATACATATTTATAGAGTTCTTAGGGCTATGCTTGTCATGAATATTCGCACTAATTTGCTGCCAATTGAATTTTGACTTTTGCATATTGTTTAGTTCGCTCCTCTTTCTTGCTTTTTTCTTTGAGCTTGGGTGACTTTTGAACTGGTTCGCCAGCTGCTAGGCAGCTAATTCAGTTAATTCTTTCGGTAAAAACGATGGAATTGAGTTATATGAAATAATTTATAGTTTTTTAATTAGTTAATATCTCTTAATATTTAAATATATAAATCAGTTAGATCTAAAGAAGAAGATATATTTTTTTAGAACCTGTGACTTTTGAACTAGTTTATTTTTTTCTCAGCTCAAGGCTCAAATAGAATAACAAATCAATCTTCGATTGCAAATTGAGACTCTTGAGCTGTCTTACAAGAGACTCACGGAAGACATAATATTTATTATAAGTATAAGATCCTCACATGAAGGTCTAATAGCAAATTCGATATAGAATACTTTGGAGTCTATAGGAAAACTCATTGAATTTAATCAGGAAAGTTAATGAATTTAGCTCAAGTCTAATGCTTTTACAGTCCATTTTCAGAGCTTTGCTGAAAACATTTCTTATCTCTCAATTACTGTTGAAGCTAAATTATGAAAATTTGCCTTTGTTGATAAAAGTTGTGGAAAATTGTTCGCATTTAAAACGCGCTCAACTTGCTCAACACCTAGCACATTACCTAACATGCACACACACACAAATACAGACACATAGGCGTACACTCACACACACACATACATGAGCAGTGGGCATAGCAAATTTTTATTGGCAAAACTTTTTTAATTATCATTAATGAACATGAAGTGCGACTCTCTGGGGCATGTGCTGACCGTACAGGCAGAGCTATAACAACTATAGCAACAACAACGGCAACGACAACAGCAGCAGCAACAACAACAACAACTTTCGCATTTGCAATTATTTTAATGTTCAATGATGTTGCAACTTGGCAGCCATCGCAATGATTTATTGCCTGGCAGCTCGCCTCAAGTTGCCCGTTCCCAGTTTTGAGTTTGGCTGCAACTTCGACTCTGACTCTGGCTTTGGCTTTGGTTTTGGCTTTGGCTTTGAATTGGGCTTTTGGTTTGAGAAGGCACACGCCATTCGTTGTGTGAAAGTTGGCAATTAGACAGTCAGTCGCCGAGGGTCACTGCTGCCGGCTCAGAGGGGGCAGAGAGGGCAGACGGGCCAGAGGGGGCCCTGGCCAGGCCACGTCAAGCTGATAGTCCATGAAACAGCGTTTATGTCTAATGTCCAACGCATTATAATGCCCGGCCAGCAGATGTACTTATGTACAAGTTTTATGGGCTTGTCGTGCGCAATTTTTGGCTTTCATTTTCCCCTATATATGTATATACCCTGTATTTGAGTAAACAAGAGTATATGCAAGAGCAAAAGCAAATGCTGAGGCTCAGCTCTGTATGCGTAAGCTTAGGGTATACTTATGTATGAGTATTATATTATATTGCTTACTGACTTGTCAGATCACGCAAGCTGAGTTCTCACGCTTGATATTTATTCAATTATTTTCAATTGCAGCTTCAGGTCAAACAGAATCTCATATTTTGCAGGACATTCGCAAGTCTTGCATGCTCGCACTTCCTTCTTCTGCACGCCCCCAAATGGGTCATAGCAAATGTGAGTAAATTGCAATTAGTCAACTGATTGAAATCGATTTGATGTAAGACATAAAACACGGCTATTAAAGGGTTCATTTGATTAGAACCCCCATTTCACCATTTGAAGCAAGCGCTTGATGACCTGTAACGGGGTCTGTAAATAATGAAATAAGATACATAATGCATGTACAGCAATATTTACGTGATTTATATGCCAGCCGCAAAAACAATTTGCGGCCCAAAAGCCTTGGTCGAAATTGGAATGCACACAACACACATTCGATATCATGTCAATTTAATATATGTATATATGATACATATGTGTATCTGTGTGAGTGCATGCAGAGGCCTAAGCACGTTTAGATATACAATCTCACGCCTACAGTTTGGCCTATCTATAGAGTCCATACAATTGCGCGCACTTGCTCGCCACAGAAACCCCATTTTCCATTTGGGTCCTTACAGCCCTGGCCTTGTCATAGCGGCGAGAGCCCTAAAAAAGGAAGCAGGGTTGGTCTAGCTGGGATTGCCCAACTAAAACACACCCTGTATATGTATCTAAAACACACCGTGTATCTGTATCTGTATCTGTATCTGTATCTGTATCTGTATCTGTATCTGTATCTGTATCTGTATCTGTATCTGTATGTGTATCTGTATCTGTATCTGTATCTGTATCTGTATCTGTATCTGTATCTGTATCTGTATCTGTATCTGTATCTGTATCTGTATCTGTATCTGTATCTGTATCTGTATCTGTATCTGTATCTGTATCTGTATCTGTATCCCTCTTTGTCCAGATGCCATGATTTACAGGGTATACAAACAGGAACCCGGCAGCATTTATGACATATGCAGAATGGGCAAGGGGTCGTGGCAGGTGGCATGGAAAGAGACGGTTGTCAGATGGGGCGGAATACCACCCCTAATATGCGCCGATAGCACGCGCTTTCGAGCTGGGTTTTAAGCGCTGAACAGCGACTGAAGCTCCAGCTGCAGGCCAAGGCTTTGCCTTTGATGGAGACGCCACCATTGTTGCCATGTTGCCCCGTCGACTCAGCCGTAGTCACAGCCGTAGTCGTCGTCGTAGCGTAGCCACGTAAATGACTGTATCCGTATCCACAGCTACGCAACCACACACACACAGCTCATAGAACACCCACACAATATATGTATAAGAATGGGGATGGTGCTGGGCAGGTGGGCTGCCTGCACCGCGAAGGTAACCCGTAAAACGGAGTGAGCAGATGTGTGGGCCGTGAGGCTGTGCGGCAATAGAAGCGAAAATGAAAGCCAAGAATTGCAATAAAACATAAAATTGCTGACTTCCTATTCGTTTGCCATTTCGGTTTCGTTTTTCCTTTTAATACCAATTGAAACTGGAAGAGTTGGGTATATAGAGACCACGTTTCTGGAAGAGCTGAGAGAACTAAATTTAACGAGGACTACAGACTACAAATATCGCTGGGTATCAAGTCCAAATTGAGTCGCTAGAGACTTATACCTTGTCATGCGGCGGAATATAACTGTATGGAATATTCTTGTATGCCTGAAAATAGGGCATCACCTAGTCGAGCATATCCAACTGTACTAGTATTTTTTGTTTGTGTATTTTCTCGGGTTTTTCTTTAAATGTCTGGGGCATTGTGCGCCGTAAGTGCGTGTGGGTTCTGCTGGGTGTATGGCAAGTGTATGTTTGTGTGTGAGTGAGTGTGTATGTGTGTGTGTGTGGCTGTGCGTGCTGCTGTTGGCTGCGTCAGGACCAAGCTGCGACCGCATTTTTTCTTATTTTTTATTAGGTTTTATTTGATTTACACTTGTTTTCCGCCTGCGAGCTGCTGTGCGTGCATGTGTGTGTGTGTGTGGGAGGAGGGGAAGGCGTGTCGGGGTGGGCGTAAGTGAACGCTTGCTGGCAATCTGCGAAGCAAGTGCAGCGCTTAGTCATTTCCCTAGCATTGCGACTGGAAAATCACTTGACATGATCTATGCAGCATTCGCAAAGCGGCAATGGAAAAACTAAACTGAGAGAAGTGATGGCAATTGGATTATGTGGAAAACTATCAGCTATACAAAGTAGATGCACATGGGTGCAAACCACTATGAAATCGGAAAAACGTTCCCCTGATTAAGTGTTGTGCAATGCTCAAAGCGACCGAAGCCGAAGCTAGAGCTGAGAACGAGTTAAAATAATGCAGCTTTAATCAAACGAAAGTTGCACTGTGAACAACTGGGGGGAAGAGTAAACGAGAAAGGAGACTGGAGACCAGGGCGATAGCGATAGAGAAACAGAATAAGACAGAGACCAGAGATAGAGAAACAAGAGAGTGAGAGAGAGAAAGACACTGGAGCAAGATAAATAGATATTCCGTTTTGAGTTCAATATGAAATTTCACTTTTCAAACTCACGGCAATAACATTTCAACACTATTTTCGCTGAGTGTAATAATCTGACGTGCTGGCATGCATTTTACGATCCATTTGCAGTTTCCAACAGGCAGAATTAAACGCAGTTCGCTGCGCGAAGCTAAAGTACAATTAATTAAGCACGGACTGCAGCAAAAGGATTTTAATTAAAATTTTGTCGAAGCAGCACAAGCGATTCTCTCATTCTCTCCTTCTCTCTGTCTCTGTCTCTCACTCTCGCTCTCTCATTCGCTGTCCCTCTCTGAGTCGCACCTGAATTGGATTCCATTTGAA